ATCCCCTCTCAGATCCCCTCCCCTCCCCAGCGGGGATGTATATTCTACGGACCTAAATGTAGTTATTACCTTGTGTCGTTTGGTATAATCAGAGTTACGCAGTCCACCCGGCCGACTATTATGATTGGTCATTCACCCCTCTGTAATAAGTCTTCCCACCAGAATTTTAGTTACTACACGGTAGGAAAGTCATGGTTCAAAGAAGATAAAAAACTAACAAATGACTCTGAATAACTGCTGAGTCAAAACATTGATGGATCAATAAGCGAGGGAAGAAAACCTTACAGCAATGCCATCCATTTTTTGCATGAGCACCTGGATAGGAGTTACGGAAGCAATGGATGCTGAATGGCTTGAAGCCGTCTGTACGGACGATTTGTCATCTCCTGAAACTGTCCTTCAGATGAAAGTCAAACGTAAAACATCAATGATCTACCAGTCATTTGCATCAGATTTTCAATCAACTGTTTCTGGTCTAGTAACAATGAAGTGAGTTGATAAATCTCCTGCTCAAGATCTGTAATGTATATTTTCAGGCTAAGACATTTCTCTAATTTCAAATCTTGCCTACGTGAGATCTCCTTGGATGCGTCGATAAACTGTTGATAATTTTGAAACACATTCTGCTTGAGCATTTCTTGTGAAGCATGATTTATGGCATTCATTTCAGTTCGTAACTTTTGCAGTTTCTTGGTTTCATCTCCGGTTCGTACACCTTTCAGTCGTTCTCGTATATCTAAATGATACATGCTAAGCTGCTTGATAGCTGAAACTAAAAGTCAACATACATTCTGATGGGGAAAAATTATCAGCCATTAGGACTCCATCAGAGGAATCCTCGACGGCATCTCCAGGTTGCATAGCAAGCCGGAGTCAAAAATAGGTCCACCAGACTATATCACAAAATGCCTGAAACCAAAATTTAGTACCAGCTTAATCGAAATCGAGCGAAAGCACGACAACTTAGTCATGCATGCTATAGAAGCAGCGCAAACTAAACAAAACAAATATTTAGACGTTCAGAGCACCAAAGAACAAAATAGCTCGCAGTTTAGCGTTTGCATAATCTGCGCCGCACTGTTGGCTGACGTCCAACAAATTCCAGCAGCTAATATTGATTGATTTCCAGCTCAAAATTTTAGCAGATCGCTTTGGAGCTGTTTCGCTTTTTGCTTTATTTTGTCCAGAAGTCATGGACACACAGTCGTCAAGCGATTCGTCGCTGCCCAAGCCAGGCGATTTGATCTGGGCGAAGATGAAAGGTTTTCCACCCTGGCCTGCTAAAGTAAGTGCTCAATCAACTCACTCAGTTTTCTTAAAGTTGTGAGACTCGTAATGTTTAGCATAGCATTTAAGGTTTTGGAAAAAGATAAGGATACACCAATGTCTCGCATTCCTGTTATATTCTTCGGCACTGGTGAAAAAGCGTTTATGAAGCCATCTGATGTATCAGATTACTACGAAAACAAAGCACAGCATGAAGTTCCCAGAAAACATAAGGTAAGTCTTCTAGTGGTGGTTTTTTCCATGATGTCATTACATCGCAAAGTTTCGTTCTTCTCAGAAAGAAAAAGTGTTTTTGTTCTTCCTTCTTGCACTGTTAAAGACATGTTCACCTCTAGTCTTGAGCTTTTGAAAGCTTACGATGTATGACCTCCTATCAAGCCAATGCCCAAGTCGCGGCTCAAATTGTCACTTAATCGAGGAAATCGCTTTGGCATAGCGAACATGAGGACACCAAGTCGGCACCGCCCCTTCCAGTAATGCCCGCCCATCCGTGCGCGCCCATCCAGTAGCCGTTCTCCGTCCTGCGGGTTCTCCGGAGCGGGCATTGTCGGGGTTTTCGCGGATTCTCGACTTCATATTTGGAATTAGGGATAAGAGAAGGCCACCGATCAAAACGTGGAAGTCGAGAATCTCTGTGGACGGTGCTTAATCTTGTCTTCAATTTCAGCAATAGCTTCTTTGAATTTGAGGCAGTAGTCTTATTTCCGCAATAGGATGCGAATTCTGTTGTCTGATTTGCATGGGGCTGAACCATGGTCCTTCGATTTGCATGAATTATCCCCGCCGAAAGAGTACCACCAGTGTAGAGTGCAAATGAACTGGTGCGTACGTGCGACACAATAATAACAGATTTGCAGTCAGAGCTTCTACCCTGCATCTCACTAGAGTGTTAACGAAGTGGAGGTGGCCGATAATCGCTTATACGTGTCGTCAGTGATGGCTGTCGCGGTGGTTTTAAGTCTGCCTTTTTGTCTACAGAATGTCTCTGAAAAGCTATGAGAAAGAACTTGAAGCGAAAAAAGCGCGCACCTAGCATAAAATCAATCGTTTAGTCTTATCGCTTCAACGGGGCTGTAGCAAGTGTGAGTGAGCACATTATGCTGACTGTTTATTGCTGACTGACTGTGTATAAGTCTTCTGACACTTGTCACTGCTCCATTTGAGCTTTAGGAACCAAAGGGTACTTTTATCCCGGTGTATTTTCACTTGAGTCAAATATGCAGCCGAAGATTATTGTTGCAAGAGTTTTTTCCTTCCTAATTCAATGAAACAGAAAACAGCATTGTCTCTTGTCTCAGTTTCTACAGTATTATTCTTTTCCAGGGTTTCAACGAAGCTATTCATGAAATACGTGTAGCAGCTGGTTTTGAAACAGCATTCGATGCTGATCCTCTTTTTGGAGCGAGTACGTCGAGCAAAGGCCCATCGCCTATGCTTTCGGGAACCCTTGAAGATAGGCTTCGCTCTGGTAATGGCAAATTACTAAATGATGCATTCTTATCGGGTTTCGAACGGCGTAGAGCAAATTCTGCTTCCACGAGGTAACAGTATCATCAACATTTTTCACAATTAGTCGTAATCATTCGTCTTATAGGTCACGATCTAGAGCCAGCAGTTCAGCTTCCGCTCTGAAGAAATTGCATAAAGCTATGCATCGTCGACGACTCGATAGCGGTAGTTCCGCTGGTTCTCGCCTTGTCAAAGGGTTGCCAGGATTCGCTGACCGTGGTTTTGACCTCTTCGACAACTTTCAGGTGCTCTTTTTGTATTTTTCAAACTTCGGTGTGCAAGGTTTGTACGAAAGTCTATCGCAGTTTCATTGTTATTTTTCTATTTTTTTAACAATTTTTCAATTTTTTTAACAAAGCTTATTTCGTGATCGGGAAGAGTAATGCATTTCACGATGGCGTCCAAAGCAAAACTCTGAATTCATGAAAATTCAAGCTTACGTCTACATTTCGCAACGCTGCGCAATCGTCCGCACATTGTTTGCACACCTGAATATCAAGAATTTTGAGAATGTTAGCGATTTTCTGTTACAACCAAGTAATATTCGGATGACTTTTTGAGATATTGTGCAAAATTACTCAAAAGGTCGCAAAACACTTTTTTTATCGCAAAACTCTGTTTTTTTAGAAGGGTTGAATGAGGAGGTGTAGAATGATAAACTTACCTGAAATAATAAAAGGACACCGTATTTCTTCAAATTATATACGTATAACATGTTGTTCCGTACTTTTGATGTTACTGTTATTTTTAAAATTTGTAGTCTTATGATGCGCCCGACTATACTATGGACGAGAGCCTCAATCTATTTGGCAATGATGAGGTGAAATCGAATCGATCAAAAAGGTCTCGCGCTTCGTCGAAGCTTTATGA